CGAAGGTGAAATAAAATTGGTAACAAAAACAATACTACAAATAAAAATTTAATAATAAAATATTAATAGGATTATTAATAACAGTATTAATGATCACACAAATTTTCCAAAAATCTCTAAAAAAAGAACAGTCCTTCCTATCACTTACCATAGAAATTCTTTCAAACTGACAACCACAACAAAACCGAAATAAGAGCGTAGGCTTCCGCGACCGGAGTCAGTATTTACTAGGCTGTCCGGATGACGCGCGTCCATGGCGAAGGTGCCGACGTTTCGGTCGCCATTCTGCGTAATGCATTGCGCTCTGAGGAAGGTCGCAGAATGGTGACCGAAACGTCGGCACCTTCGCCACGGACGCGGCGTCACCCGGACAGCCTAGTAAAGAAAACCGAAATACAGCATGCTAGGTCACGTGAAGACGGCTGTTATTTGACGCGTCCAGATGTAAACAACGCAATGTGGTATTTTACACGCGCTGCAAACAGCGCAATCTGGTGCGCTTCCGAAGGCGCTAGCGCGTCCGGGCGGCGCGAACGCACCAGGGGGCGCGGCCGGCGGGGCGAGCGGTTCGGCCGAGGGGACGAAGGGGCAAGGGGTCGAGGGACGGCGCTCCAAACATCCGGTGTTTGCCGGGCGGCGCGCGACGGATATGAAGGCAGGGCGCCGTCGCCTGCATATTGACTCCGGCGCCCCCGCCCCGCCCGCGCCGCAGCCGACGCCTTCCTTCATCGTCGCCACCGTCGCCGCAGTGGCGCTGCGGTGGCGGCGGGCCGCGACGTGACGAAGCAGCCGGCCGCGCCCCCCGCGCCGGTGCGGGTTTGAGGGCGAGGACGCGGAGGACGGCGGCGGTGAGGACAAGGCTGAGGGTACAAAGTGCACCTTTTGATGTCATGGCGGAGAATCTGACCTGGAGATTCGAAGCTTTCAGTGTCCACGGTGGCAGGGTTTTTGACACTAGCACCGGGAGAGGTGGTTCAGTTCATTAACGGATGTCACTGCAGTGGCTCTGACTGGGAGGTCCTAGGACTCGAGTTCCGACAGTAGCAGGATATTCAACTGTAGTCACGTAGGTAGGTGGAATTCAGCTGCAGACTGGAAGAAAATTCTAGCAGCCGGTTGTTCTGATCAGTATTTTTACGAGGCTTCTCAGATCAACACCAGGCGAATGCCGGAGTAGTACCCTAACAATCGGACCACTGACCACGCGCAATATTTCCTTCCTCTTGCTTGTTCTATTCTAACCCCTTACACACACTTACACTAACATATACTACTACACCTGCCAGGAGACCGGTCGGGAACTTAGAGCACGTCCCAACTGGGCAGGTGCCCCACTGGTAGGAGGTAGCTGGTTGGAGAAAACTGGACGTGCCGACGGTAGGTTGTCGCCGAATCTCGCCATCCAGCTAGAAAAGACCACCGTCACTTCCCTAGAAAAACATGCACTACACTTAGGGCACTAATAGCTTTAGTGTTTCACGTGCCCGGAATCCCTAACAATCAATGAATCACCTGATGTCACTGCAGTGCCGCTGACCGGGAGGTCAGTCCGCCAAATTCATTGGACCGCTGCGGAATTTCTTACATCATGCGTTCCCCTGAGTCTGCGATACACAAGCATCCTAATACTGTGCCAAAATGCGTCGAAGGATTTCTATTGGTTTCGTGCATTTACTGTGTAGGAAACGAATCACTCCACGCCGCTCTTCTTTAGCGCATTCCAACACAGGGGCCGCCATGTTGGAAAGTCCCGTATGACGCCGCTGGATCACGTGGGAATGAGAGACCAACGCCAGTTGATGGCGGGAAAGTCCACGAGCGTCCATACTGAGTCTGATTGCAATGGGAGCGCTTTCCGAATTTCTCCAGCGTTTTTCCTGATTTCACTTCACCTACCTACGTATACGCAAAATTAAAGAATAATTAAATGTACTCCCCAAATTTAGGATATTCTTTTTTTTTAATTTCTTGTGCTACGGCTTTGGAGAACCCTTTGCTGCTCAAAAAACGGCAGAATTTTTGACAGAAAAAAAATTCGCTTCGTAGCCCTCATAATAAAAAAAGTGGATAAATGCCATTGCTAAATTAAGAAAATAAAATCCTCTAACACGTGGTGTAGCCAGAATTCCTGTTTTATATGTCATTTATATCGAAAAACCAATTGACGCCCGACCGTCCGTCTGTCGATCTGTCTGTCCGTTCGTCTGTGAACACAACTATCGGCTAAGCCATGTGGAGCATTTTTACCAAATTGAAGACCCATCTGTCGAACAGGCTGTAGTCAAAACTTTCAATTATTCAAAAAGTATTCATTAATATTTGGGGGTATTTTACATGAAGCACTTTCCACCTTTTAAAGTGCATTCCACTCTATTGTTACAAGAAATTTAAGCAAAGAAACTGGAGCCATTTTGAGAAAAGTTTGAAAATATCTTTTAATGTGGTCACATTATTGCATTCACGAGAACATGTGCTTTAAATGGTGTCTAATAATGTTTTGTGAAAACTATAGTTTTCTGTGAAAACGAGTTCAAATTTACACATTCTCGGAGATGCTCAAAATCCACATTCTCAAAAACGGCTCCAAATTTTTCACGCCGATAGTATGTACATTTGCAGCGATTTGTATTTGTATTTGTGAGTGAAAGTTGTTTAAATGATTTCAAATGAAATTCTTGGAAAACACAAACGATTCCTGTGAAAAAAACTTCAAATTTCGTATTTACATTAAAGCTTGAACGATATTTTTTTTAAAAATGAGATTAATTTTTTTTAAGAAAATATCGTCTTCTTTAATATTTAAAAAGTAATATTTTAATCTACCATTAGTAAGCCGAAAAATTGAGAACATTGCAAAAAAACGTATTTTGGGGGCAATAGATAGCTACCACCAAGAGGATGGAACAAGACCGTTAAAGCTAGCCCACTCCAAGGAAATAAGAAATTTTTACTACGAGAAAGTATGTGCTATTTGTAGCATCACTTGTTTATTTATAAGGGTTCGTGCATGTTTGATCTGTAGAGAGCATATTGCTGTGTTTAAATTGTTGAGACGACGCCCTGTGCTAGGTAACAGCAGAATGCAGTTAAAGAGTGTACGGGTGTGAAACAGTGGCAGCCAGATGAGGTTAATAAACAAAAATATGAGATGGAGTGCGAGTACAATTAGACACGTGATTAAATAGAAATCTATACACTGGGTACACGTGTTTTATGAGCAGATTACGGAAATTAATAATTATAAAATTTCATACAAAGTTATTCCATATTGATGTTTTTAACTCTTCAAATTTTTTGTGCAATAAGAGGTAGAATACTATCCTAACATTATCACATTTAAAATGTAAGAGATACTAATATATAGAATAGTTACTTCGTACCTTGATCGGACTAAAAATATTAGGAAAATAACTAACATGAAAAATTCTGTGTAGTCTCTTGCACAACAAGTTTGATTTAAGGTATGAATCATGACCCTCTGTTATTCTCACGACTACTTCAGAGAGCGATTGAACTATTTCGCTGAAAATTCATTCCCAGATTTATTCTGACCTTCCCCTTAGATATTATCCGCGCACGTATTCGTGAGCCTTTGCATCGCTAGTTGCTAGAAAAGGGGTGAGTTTTGTTATTTTCAGAAAAGGATTTTCATATCATACTTGTAGTTCGTTTTACTATGCGAAATAAGATATATAAAACGGAAACTAAGACTTTCTGGATATCAGATTTTGTCTACAACGCTCGTTGCTATCATTTAATCTTAATGAAACTAATTTTGGCAAAGTAGTGGGAGGAGGTATTACGAGGCTCAATAAAGCGTGCGCGTATGTTATCGTTCTACCGCAAGTGTGGCTCAAGGTGACCCTGAAGCGGAAAAATATTTGAGCGCTGCGCGAACAGCAGCGAGGGCGGAGGGGCATAAACTGCAGGTGATGAAGGTACCTGTTCCGCAGGGGCGGGAGCCCTTCACTGCGTAATTGAACGCGCACAGTGCCTCCATCCATTTTCAAAGCCCGCGGTTGCATATCCGGGACGCATTCAGCTGGAAAATTGAACATAAATAAAGTGCAGCCAGAAGGCTCCGGTTGCTTCCGAACTTCCTGCACCGACGCAAAATACGAGGTCGCAAGTTGGAAAAATAAAGAAGACGTATTAAATACGGGGACTTCTTCGGTCTTGTTCATGAGACGCAGGTGAGTATAAGATTTTTCATGAAATCACATAATGTCTTTTGAACGACAATAAGTTAAAGCGAATGCAATAGAATTGGGTCGCAAAATTATTTGTTCATCTCACTGCTTTGGGGTATTTGTAAATTGGATTCCACAGGTAATTCAAAGAAATCGAAATTCAATAAAGAAATCGCTTCTTAAATTATCGATTAAGTTTATTCAATCTATGCAAATACAATGCGTCAATAGTTTAACTCAGAATTAAAACATACCTACCTAAACTAAATACATACATAGCTATACTAAAACATACAAAAATTTACAATCTCTATAAGAGACGAAAGTTCTTCATTGCATTAATACAATATAAATTAAAGAAAATGAACTACTTAAACGTAAACACAACAAGAATAAGAACAGTTTTTAAATGATGTTAGGTTTGACTGAATGATTACTGATATTAGATATTTCAAACTAGAATGTCAGGAGAAAAAGCTCAAAAAGCTAACATCTTGTCTAAAATTCCAACGGATTATGCCATTGAATTTTTTGTTAATAATAATAATAATAATAATAATATATTACAATGATTATATATATGTATATATATATGTATATATATATATATATATATATATATATATATATATATATACACATACTCGTAGCTGACACTTCATGATGGCGCCTGCAGTGTATGCAACTTTACATGCTTCTAAGTGATTCGGTGTAGCATCTTGGGCATTTCATTACAAGTGCTTCGCGACTCCGTGGTATGAGTCTCCAACGTATATGCGTCAATATGTTATTATAATTATTTTAAACTACTTGAACATTGTTATTGCAATTTAACAAGCACAAAATAAAAATTAGATTAATTTGGTTCTTCGCAAGATTATAGTAATATATGAAGATAAATATATTTCTATTCACGGAACTGCGTACGCCATAGAAGGATGTTTTTTCATAGAATATACGTGTGAAAAACACTACTGAAATAATACAAATTCTTTTGAAACAAATATAATTAGAACACATTAACAATATTGCACCGCGGCTTTCTGTTTCTGCTCCATTGCTCTTCTTTTGTCCCCTCCACAGTAACCCTGTGAAGAAGGGGAATTTATTATCTATATGTTTTTACATTATGCT